GGGTTCTTCACGATATCGATGAGATGCCTCTCTCGAATGCTCACGTCGAGTTTGCTTCTCGTTGACGATCCGAACGTCTTGTTTTACTGGAACGGTATCTTCTCATCACGATTTGACGTTGTGGAGGACTTGCGTGGTAAGTTTGAAACTCTGAATGAGTTGATAACTCAGAGCGAGTTTAAACTCTTGTAAAAGAGTTAATTGATCTTAACCGTAATTGGTTAGACAAGCCAAACACGAAGATAGCCCCAAGAATCTGTTGCCGAGAAGATGGTCCGAATAAGCCGATCTCTAGATCTCCAAAATTCTCAAAGATCTAAAGATATCCCCCCTCTCTTCCTCTTTAGCCTCGGGATCTCTTCTTTGTTGCCGAGAAGAAGGATCCAAACTAAGCTGATTTCTTAGTTATTTATAGGAGATTAAGGGGTGTAACCGCCTCCTTAATTCGCTCCTAAGTGGGCTTATGAGATGTAACTTCCCCTTAAATCACTTCTGAGTGGAGTTGTGATCCCCTCAGATCGTGGGAAACGGTTTTGAAACCGTTCAGCTCGTGTTTGAACGAGTCAAACGCAAAATCCGCATTCTGGCGTGAATTCTGCGTTCAAACGCAGTGTCTGGAAGCTTAAACACAGTATCTGGAAGCTCGGACGCAGCGTTTGGAAGCTCATTTGCAGCAATTGGAAGATGTGTTTGCAGCGATTTGGAAGCTGCGTTGACAGCTTTCGGAGGCTGCGATTGCGGTCGAATATGAGCTGCGTTGGCAGCTAGATCTGAGTTGCGTTTGCAGCGTTTGGAGCTGAATATGAGTTGCATTTGCACTGCGTTAGTGGCTGTGAACGCGGTGCGTCTTGATGCTGGTACGCGGGGAGGACTTCTGTGTCTTGATTTGAAGAGACCGTCGATTTGTAGTCTCTTTCTGTCAAAGCGTAGCAATGATCGTCATTTTGTAATCTTTGCTTTAGCTCTTTGATATGTGAGAGTCGTCAAATTGTAACTCCTGATGTTGATTGTGAAGGCTGTTGATTAGAGCTTTCATCAGTTGTTGTGAAGATCGTCAGATTGTAACCTTCATCGATCTACATGAAAGTCTTTAAATTATAGCATTCTGAAAGCCGTCGAATTGTAACTTCCATCATCGATGTTTGATGGGTATCAGCTATCTGCAGTGATTTTTAGACAGCCTACATCGGGTATTAGGATACTTGATCTAGTAATCCGTCCCGCACGTAGATGCGATGAGGCTTGTGAGCCGTATACCTAGGATGCCTTGATTTGGTAGTCCATCTCGCACTTTGATGCGATGAGATTAATGAGCCATGTACACTATTAGGATGCTGATTTTGTAGTTCGTCCTACATAATAATGCGATAAATTATAAACTTTATAATAATTTGCATTGTGATAATTATCTGATAGCCTGAGTTTTGGTGGACGCCATTTATGAACATGTCTCATCGATGAGTTATATATGACCGATGTACTTTACTCTTGTAAGTACGCGCAATTATATGTAGTTTTTTACATTATCTTCCAAAGGATAGCGGAATATATTTTTGGTCCGATATTGCGATGATTTTACTTTATTGTATTGCTATCCTTTATTCTTAGTTGGGATTGATGATTAGCGATTCATAAATTGAAACATATGGTATATACATGAGGGTTTCCTTATTTGAATTATTTCGCTCGACGTACCAGTCTCATATTGTGAGTTTCTAATTATTGATTCTATTTAGATTATTTATTCTTAGTCCGGTATTGATATCTAGTTATCTATAATTTGAGACATATGATATATACATGGGTGTTTCCTTGTTTAGATTATTTCGCTCGACGTACGTATCTCATGTTGTAGGTTTCTAAACATTAATTCTGTTTAGATACAAGGTAATAATATAGATAGACTATGATTAATAGATAGAGCCTCCATCACATCTAGTAGCCCTTCCCCTGGGGGCGGATGAAGATGATCTTGTTGTAGCGTTCTGACGCTCTTATTGTTTCTCTTTTTATTTTTCAATTTCTTTTAAGCAGCAGCTCAGAGTTCTGGAGAGCCACAGGATGACGGACTTCCAGCATAGTCGCCATCACATATTTTTAGTAGATGAGACACCACCGTACGTAGTTGATATTTATCTTTAGATATTTAGAGTTTTGTATTTTATCTTATAAAGGCTGTGTGTCTTAGTTTATTTTCGGTTGACTCATATTGAGATACTTCACATTTATTTCAGACTTTAGTTGTATTAAGTTTATTTAGTTGAGACATGATTATATATATTAGATATCTCTTTCTACATCATGTCTACTGCATTTAATTCCCTTATTTTATCTGTTTTGTACCTGCACTTGTATTTAATTTTACTAGAGAGATATTATTGTGATGGTGAAACGTGTTGTTACATAGTGTGGGTGCATGACAAGTTTAACATCTCTGGGTTCACATTGGATTGCAGCAATGTCTGAAAACAGGGGCGCCACATTTACTTATTATTATATCCTCTGATTGGTTGATTCATAGAAAACTTTTTTTTATTTGTTTTAGGACGGAGCACTCGCGAGTAATCCTTTTGAACATGAAACTATTTTATATCTTAAGTTTATTCAAGTTGCATTTTGATATATAAATGATTTTCTTTTGTTTATTTATTTCATATGAAAAATTTGGGTTAAATTATGTTAATTTTAATTGTAGCATTATATAATTTGAATTTATCATGATTTCTAGGCAATGATATATTTTCAGACCTCAATTGAGTTGGGGGGGTGGTCATGCTTCAGAAAAAGGGAAGTATGTCACTATATTATTCTATATTCTATTTAAGAAATGAGTGCTTGGAACACAATAGAATGTTGGTGAATTGCGATAAGATCATGCTTAGCAAGAGCTAAAAGACTAGTGTTGGTTAAAAGTATGCCACTGTCTTTTTCTATATTCTATTTTGGGAAATGAGTGATTGAAACACGATAGAATGTTGGTGAATTGCGATAAGATCGTGCTTAGCATAGGCTAAAAGACTAGTGTTGTTTAAAAGTCAACCAGTCAAGCAATACGCATAGTTGACCTCCGTGTTAAGGCCCGCTCTCTCTGTTATCTCTGACTTCTTCTCTACAACATCAACATCAACAACAAATTATTTTATCCCAAATGTTTGGGGTCGGCTGTATGAATCATATTATTCTATTTCATTTTGTTATATGTCATCTCATCTTTTAAGTTAGTCTCCTCTTTTAAGTTAGTCAAAATCATGTCATTTTCAATTGCTTCTAACCAAATCATTTTTTAGGTTTACATCTGGATCTCCTAACCATATTAACTATAATATTATCACTTTTCCTAACCGATGCACTAAGTGGCCTCTATTAATACATGATCAAACCATCTAAATCTATTATCTCTTATTTTATCCATCTCATTACCTCTGGCTTCTTCTCTATTAGATAAAAAGTCATACCGTCATCTATTATAATCCAAATTGGCAATGCCGATGACAAACTATGAGGACCGCAAAGGATGTTAGAAGGATGAGTTTGAACAAAGCCCATCTAATTTATTCTTCTTCTGTTATGCTACTTATGGAAGAAATAGCTAATACTAAGTTGCTATGGAGCTCTCTGATTGGGATGGCCATCAGATTGAATTTGAACTTCCTTCCTCTGATCGTCTATGTTAACCAGGTCTCTTTGGTCAGCGACATAAAAAAATTGAGAATCCAGTCTTTGGCCCAATCTTGCTTAAATAAAGCTAGTTAAAAGCCCAGTCTAAAACGGGCGGGCTGGATAAATCGATTGAAGTATTCACTAGCTCACCCCGCTCACGAGATGAATACTATCCGGTTGGATAGCACCTGTCGCTTTCCTTTTTTTCCTTTCAAAATCTACTCCTCTATACAAATGAGAGAACCCCAGATTCACTATTCATATTACAGTAACATATCTGTAGCTTTATTATTGTAGCAAACAGGAAACTAGATACTATAGTATTTTTATAAAAACATTGCTGCAGCACACGGGGATCTATAGATTTTAAAAAAAATCTATAGCAAACAAAATTTTAAAAAAATTGTTGTAGCATTTAAAATCGGAATTACTGTAGCTGAAAAAAATGATATGCTGTGCTGTGCACGGTATTTACGACTAGTGCTGTTTTATGGCCGAAAATCTAACTTTTTCCTCTCCTATTTTGTTGTTATAGCGAGTAAAAGCTATATTAATTAATTATTAGTTAACTAGAGTAATTAAATAAATACTTAAGGAATTATGACCCCTTATGAAAGATCGTGCGTGTTAGGTGAGGATCCGAGACCGATTGATCGAAATTGGCAGGCGCTATCACGGGGAAAAGTTGGTGAGAGCGCAAGCAAGTTGCACGCTCTCCAAGATATATACACGGATAACACAGCGACGGCGAGAGGGGGGTTGCTTCCTCCCCAGTTGCACGCTCTCCAAGATATATACACGGATAACACAGCGACGGCGAGAGGGGGGTTGCTTCCTCCCCGCATCAGCTTGTCGCCTCCACCCCCTCCCCTCTCTCTCGCTCTCTCGCGGCTCAAAAGAAAAGAGAGAGAAGAAGCTGCTGCAATCCCCCCCGCCCCAAACCCCGAATCGAATTAGGGTTTCTCGTCTCCAGAGCAGAGAGGGTAAATTAAGAATAATAAAAAAATGCCCCTTTCTTCCTTCTCCTTAGCAGCACCACCCCTCCATTCTCCACCAGTCTCGAGGTTCTCACCGTCTCCATTCCCCCTCCGCAGCCCTCATCGCGGTATCGCGACCCCGACTCCATTCGTCGGGTGCTTCCCCCTTCATTCTCCCCCTGCGGCTCCCCTCCCCCTTCTGTCTCGTCTCCTCCTCCAGCAGCCAATCGGAGCTGCCTTATCGAAGCTGCCCGGTGGCCTCCGATGCTGCTGCAAGCAGAAGCAGCTTGGAATGGATCGGGGGCCTGCCCTTGGAGGGGGATCAGGTGGCGCTTGCCGCTGCTTGTGCCTGCGCGTGGTTTCGCCGCGGGGTGCCAAAGAGCGCGTGGCGGCCATGAAAGCAGCGCCGCCGTCGGGGTTCTAGCGCTGAAGGGACGGGTGGCGGCGCTCATGGGGCCGAAGCTGATTCAGGTCCTCCATGTGCTCAAGGACCAGGGCTTGATTCTTGCTGGGCTGTTGGGCCTCTCCGCCTTCTTCTCTATGGCCGAGACCGCCATCACTACTCTCTGGCCTTGGAAGGTAACTTTCAATCGATTTGACTGTGAAAGGCAGTAGTTTACTTTTTGGTCTACCAATGAGGAAAGTGGAAATACCCCTTTCTGAGGATGCAAATGATGTAGGAATGCGTGTGATGTCTTGCATCAAGTAGCCGCGAGAATCCTTTTAAGCTAAGTGAGCTAATGTTTCCGTTTTTAGTGTTTGGAGTTCGGGGATGGGGGGGCTTAAATGTAAAAATGTGCATATAGTTAAATGTCCACCATGCTCCTACCTCCTATGTAATTGGCTAGATGGAGATTTCTGTGTGGTCTGCTGCTCCAGAGATGATGTTGCTTATTGTTTTCTTCCAATTGGTAGCCGTTTGATGGTTTGGGATTCCAGTTTCAGAAAGAAAGAAGGGGGAAAAAGGTAACCGTGTACATCAGGATTTTAGGCTAGGAGTGACCTCTGTTAGGGTTGATTGTTTTATCGGTTAGCTCTTTCCCAGATTGTGTCGCTTTGTGAATTTCATTTCACGTCTTTTCTTGGTTTTGGATCCCAACCTTTTTTGTACTTCATGTACATGGTTGTCTATAGTATTTTATCAATTTGCACTATATGGGTGTCTGATTACTTGTATATCTGCTCGCAAACACATGAATTTAAACAAACATATTGTTGAAGTTGCTTTTGATGCATGCCAAGTATGTAGTTTAAATGATGTTTAAAGCATGAAACATGAGTTAATAAAAAAAAATCCCTGAAACTCAGCGTTAAATAGAATTTAGACAAAATAGGATGTGTCAGCTCTTGGTGTGTTGGAGATACTTTGGTTCTTATTTAGTTCTTTTAATCAGAATCAGAGCACGCCTGTCAATCTTTGAGCAGGAGTCGTCCGATCTGCCTATGGCTTGGACCAAGGCAAGTCCCGCACACATCCGACAGAGGCCGCTGTCACACTCTACTTGTGTGACTAGCCTTATGGACTCAATCCCCTCTTCCACTTGGCTGTACAACTTCCAAATTTTGGTCTTAGTCCTCGTGGAAAAGGTTAAGAATTGATGTTAGCTTGGCAAAGATATCTTATTATAGTGGGAAAAGGATCAGTGAATCTAATTTGATTTATGCTTATGTTTATTATAGTTTTATTTATAGTCGGTCAGCTCAGATGTCAGAGATGATCGTATTTTTATACTTTGTGGAAATTAATTGGTACAATAGTCAGAAGAATTATTTTTTTGAATGTATAGGTTGGGGGTGAATAAGTAACAAAAACCTGAGCAGAATCTCCCTGGGGCATGCTGCCAAACAGTGTTGGTTTTGTTCTGTGTTTATTCTTTTTGGTACTCTGTGCCTTTCCTAACCATCAATAGTAGTTAGGTGATGGTGCTAGAACTCAAAACAGCAACTGAAATGAGAGTCCATAAAATTGATTTATCATGATCTATGTAAATACTCTGTAACCTAGTCGGTCAGGTCGGATGCTATCTCCAATCAGTCGATTCCTCAAATGCTCATCACATGGAAGGCTTAACCATAGGGTAGGTTTTTGTCGTCTTGACCTTACCTTTCGCCTTTAAACATTTTCTTAAATTCATCCACTCAGCTGGCTTTGCTATTTACAGATTTCTGAAACTATGAACTGTATTAGTTATATTTCTGTCACAAGGTTCTTGCATGTCTTCAGTCACTTGGATATTTTGGAACTTAAGAAGATTCTGTAATCAGGCTTATTTCAGCTTATTACACATATGTTGCCACTGTTATCAACATTCAAGGTTTTTAACTCTAATTGTCACTTTTTCATTGATATTTCTTCATGGATTCTGAATTTACATTATAACATTTTTCAATGCTGTAAAAAGACTTGGTATAGGTGAGTATTAAGGGAGTCTCGTAGGCGATCCAACCTACAAGATGCTTTTGCTGGCGGGCTATGCCACCTAGCGTTCTATGAAAATGCTAATATGCTTTTTTGGGTCTCAAAATATATTAGCTGCTGCAGGCTTGCTTGTACTTCTAATATTCACTTGTTACTAGTTCTCAGACAAGTTTTTTTTGCTTACGGATCTCAATAAACTTTTCATCTCTTCCAAGGAAATTATTACTCAAAACTTCTTATATTTTGTTTTTGTTAGGTTCGCGAGTTAGCTGAAAAAGAGCCCGAGAATGGTGTCTTTCGAATGCTTAGTAATGACGTGACTCGGTTCCTGACCACCATTCTTATTGGCACGACGTACTCATTTCTTTCACTTCTTCCTTAAAAATATTCCGTTCTGCTTAGAGTTGAAAGCCTTAGATGTGTGAATTCTTTCTTCTAATCTCCATCTCTATTGTGTATCAGTGTTGTCAACATTGCTGCAACCGCACTTGTCACAGAAGCAGCCACTGCAATTTTTGGCGAAGCTGGAGTTAGTGCAGCTACAGGAGTTATGACTGTATGTACTAGCCACTATGATTATATTCCAGTCAATGGCCTTATTTATTAAACTTAATGCAGTGACTATGAAATTTATATGAATGCTGGTATGTTACGTTGTGCTGCAAGTATATGTGGAAGATAGAGCTCCTTAATTGACATAATATAAGCCCATTTTATGTGCTGTATCATTTTTTCCCTATCTCTTTGAGTTGCTTAGATATGAAAGGACATCTTGATAAAAGTGTTCTCTGAGCGTGTTCTATTAGTTCTGGTTTGGGATTGTTGTTTAGGACTAATACAACCGTCAAAGAATCCTACTTTCTAGGATTGGTATTAGGAAAAGGATTCTTGGAGAATATGAACTATAATTATTTTGGTTTAGACTAAAGTTTGGATAATTTTATTATACTATTATCAATAAATTAAAAATCATCATCAAAACAATAATTATTTTTAGTTGGATTTTTTATTTTTAAACTAGTCAAGTAAAAAATCAAATTAATTAGAAATTTATATAAAAATGTTTAAATAATGAACAATTAAAAAGTAAAACATAATGAAGAGCGAAGATTCATAACAAAACAACATTCTCATAAAATAGTGGATAATTAAAAACAATTCCGTATCTATATTGAATACATCTCCAAATTTCTTCAAAAATCATGACAAATAAATATTGTAATGAACAGAACTCTTATTTAATTGTTATTATATAACATTTTAAATTTTTAATGAATTATTAGTATCTAGGCTATATGATAGAGTAAATGCTACTTATCCTTCTCAAAGTTTGCCTTGATTGCGTATATCATATGTAATATATTTTTCTACACTTTCCAAGGTTTACCTTGATTGCATATATCATGTATGGTTTATTTGTTCAACATTTTCCTTCAAAAGCTTACCTTGATTGCAATTGCATATATCATGTATTGTTTATTTCTCAACATTTCTCACCTGAAGTTTACCTTTATTGAATATATCCTCCATATAGAGTACTTTTATTAAATAGGAAACATGTTATTAAATTTAGATATGAGCACACTTTCAGATTTTTATTTTAAATTTAAATATTAAATTATTTTGACTAAAAAATATAGATTTTGAATTTTCTTAAATTTAGGTTTTTAATTTTAATTTTATGTATTATTTATAATTAAAATTGTAGGTGGAGAAAGTTAATTATGGATGCTGAATTGAGGATAATGGGAGGGAAATGGTAGAGAATGTAGCTTGTTTTTTAAGGTAAATGTCGAATATAAGAGAAAAATCCTAGGAGTGAGATCACAACCCTTCATTTTAAAATTGGAATATTTTTGAGACACTCGTTAGAATATCTATAATGAGATTGATATATTGAATTTTAAATGCTTTTCATAGTCACTAACCTAGATGCCCTTTAAACCTTTAAATTCAATTATGAATTCTAGTCTTAAAACAATAGCAACTTAATTTAAATCAAAATTCAACTTAATTTAAATCAAAATTTTAGTCCTTAACAAATAACATCCTAAAATGGAAATCCTAAAAAAAGTCCTCGTCCTAACCAACAATCACGAATCAATAATTACCCTGAGAGTATAAATAAGCATGTTAGTTGGCACTTTTATGGTGGATGTTCAGTTGTCGGGTGTGACGCTCCTATTTTCACACATGGCTGCAGTTCAAGGTGAATCCAGAGATGTCAAACCTATCATGCACCTAACATTGTGCATAAACATGTTTCACTGTCACCGTTACTATCACTCTAGCAGATATCTAAAATAAAATAGTGAGGGTACAAACATATATAATAAAGATGAGAAGACAATGAACATAATGTAGAGGAGATGTATCCAATAGTATCTATAATTATGTCCCAACAGAAGAAAAGAAATTAAATCTGATAAACTGAAATAAGAACAATGAGTCTCTAAAACATAAGAGTCGACTGAACAGTACTATGGCACTCAGCCTCCAAAATGAAATACATTTCTAAAAGACTAAAACCATAAATAGTCCACTGTGAAGCACCAACCTATGAATGACCATAAATTATACTGAATCTTCGTTAACTTGCGACTCTCCGAATCCCCGACACGCTACCTGAAAAGGTGATAAATAACGAGCGTCAGAGCGTTAGCAAGAACATGATAACACATAAAATACTACACATAGCATATATATATATATATATATATATATATATATATATATATATATATATATATCATATATTCTGTACTAAGAGGAATTAAGATTTAGAAATTCACAACACGAGATGAGTACGTCGAGCGAATAATCTAAATAAGAAAACCCTCATATATATACCATGTATCTCAAATTGTGAATCACTAAATATCAACTCCAAATTCTACTAGCAAGCAATAAAGCAGTGCATCACAAACACCTTATCCAGGACATGTCATGCATGTCAAATCACAGTATCTCACTCTACCCTCAGGTGGGTGGCACGGGGTAAATATACAATCCTATGTAATCAACGTCAAAAATTATATACCGTCACACATGTGACGCCCTTGGTTTCACACAAGACTGCAGTCTAAGGTGAACCCAAAGATATCAAACTTGCTATGCACCTAACACTGTGCATAAACATGTTTCACCATCACATTAATATCACTCTAGCAGATGTCAAAAATAAGAAGTGATGGTACAAGTAGATATATCAAAGGTGACAATACAAGGAACACAATATAGAGAAGAGATCCAATAATAAGTATAATTATGTTCTAACAGAAAAAAATACATCTGATAAACTGGAATAAGAATATCAAATCTCTAATACATAAGAGTTAATTGAAAAGTATAAAGACACTCTGCCTCCAAAATAAAATACATCTCTAAAAAAACTAAAATCATAAATAGTCCACTGTGAAGCACCAACTAGCTATCTATGAATGACGGTGACTATGCTGAATCCCCGTCAATCTGCGGCTCTCCGAAACTTTGACCCGTTCCTTGAAAAGAGATGAACACAACAACGTTAATGGAGGCTCTACCTATAATATGCATAATCTACCTATATCATTTACCCTATACTAAGAGGAGTTTAAGATTTAGAAATCCACAATACGAGATGAGTACATCGAGCGAATAATCCAAATAAGAAAATCCTCATATATACCATGCATCTCAAATTGTGGGTCGCTAAATATCAACTTCAAAACCTATAAATAGATAATCAACAAAGAAAAAATACATCACCAACACCTCATTCAAATTACGTCGTATGTGTCGTATCATAGCATCTCACACTACCCTTGGGAATGTGGTATGGAAACAAAAATACAATCTTGTAAAAACCTCGTCAAGGATACATCGTGCATCAATGTTACATTAAACGCTGGGCGCTTCTAGGCGTCGGACTTGGCGCCCAGCGCTTAGTCGCCTAGGCGGGCGCCTAAGCGGTTTCTGGGCATTTTTTTCTTTCTTCATTTAAGTGGTGATCGATGAGGTTTTGCTGAAGGTCGGAGGAGGTAGTGAAGGTGTTCATATTTGAAGGTTAATGGAGTTTGGAGGACGTGTAGGCTACGACACATAAAATCACAATCAAGGCCTACAAGGTGCAATCCACGTAAGCAGACAATGCTTCTCTAAACGCTTGTAAAATCTAGATGGCCAACCTAAATACCGTCTAGGCGCTAGGCGCTAGTTAGGCGGCTTAGGTACCGTCTAGGCCTAGGCGTACGCCTAAGCGGGCTAGGCGGAGGTTTTTTAAAACAGTGTCGTGCATGTCTAAGCACAATATTACACACAACCCTCGGGGTAGATGACACGGGAGCAAATACACAATCTTGTGTAATCCTCTTCATCGAAAATGGCGTGGAATTTAGGTGCTCACAATATCATGCGGCTCACTATCTAACTCCGACACCAAGCGGAGTATAGGTATATCATCCCAATTCGGAACACGATGCAAACAAAAGAGATGTGAAGTATCGGTGCTCATAGTATTCTGTGGCTCATCGCAGTACCATGTGGCTCATAATCGAACTCAAACATTTATGCAGAAGTATGATGCGAAGCATAGGTATTCACAGTATCCCGCGGGTCATCGCAATCTTGTGCGACTCACAACCTATCTCGGTCATCCATGCAAACATTTGATGCTAACTTATGCAACTCGTCAGTTGTCGGCCCTACGTCGCGACGAACTCAACACATGGCTACGCACTTCCGAGGATCCGTGCGTGCCTAATCCTAGCATGTACACTAACATGGTCACGCACGTGTATCGACGTGCAGGCTCGAATTTCATGTTCACAACCAAATGTACGTGGAGGATTAAAACTCGCAAACAGCTTTAGATCAGTCAACTGATAATCCCATCAGTCGACTGGGCGGCGACGTGCACAACGTGCACAACAAAACTTGTGCCCTATACGGTCGACCTACTAGAGAGAAAAATATAGGGTTCTATAAACTTATCGGTCGACCGATCAATGTGGTCAGTCGACCGACCCAAGCGTTGGAACAAAACTATCAGTTTTCATAAAGTTAAACAGTTTTCTAATAAATTGTAAAATTTCAATATGGGGTGTAGATCACAATTTAAAACTTGCAATAAATTTTTATAAGGGCTCGGCCAAACAAGATTACATCAACAACAACATGATTTTGGGATCAAATACTCCCTAAACATAACTAATCAGATTTAATTCTGTATAATTAGGGCTCTAGTCCTGATTAATTTGTTCTTTAACTGATCATTAGGGTTTTAGTCATCAAAAACTAAGGGGATGAGTTTGGGAAGAGATGAACTTGCCTTGAAAATATGTGTTGATCCCTCAAACGTGGAAGAAAACTCGATCTTCCTTCACAAAAACCGTAGATCTCGCCCTCCACTTGCACTTTGCTTCTCAAAGCTTCTCCAAAATTCGAAAGGAGGATTTTTTAGGGTTTCTGAGGGAGAGAAACAACTGTTCAACGTGAGGGAAGGGTTAAGGGGGGGAGAGTTCGGGTTTTATATGTATATATATACACATATAAGAAGATCCGACTCTATATATATATATATATATATATATATAATTGATCTCAAATCGAGTACAAACAGATCCATTCATCCCAGAATGAAATCAACCATAATAAAACTCATTTATTATTATTTTCATAATATTTTTAAATTTACGGAGTTTTACAACACATAAATGTCATAATGTTAGACTACGTCCATCAACTGTACTCGCCTGAGTCCTAGACGATCCAAAGATGTAGAGTGTAGTCGTCCGCAGTATATACGGCTCCCGGACTAACGCTCTCAGTCATTGAAACCAATATATGTTGTGGAGTGTATTCGCTCGCAATATTATGCGGTGTACGGACCAACACATTCAACAACCTCAACAAAAACTCAACACGGTGTGTAGTTGCCCGCAGTGTTATGCGGTACACAGACTAACACACTAGGAGTGTAGTCGCTCGTAATATCATGCGGTGCACGGACTAGCCCACTCAAACACTTAAACAATGATGCACTGCGGAGTGTAGTCGCCCATGGTCTCATACGGTGTACGGACTAACGCACTCGGAGTGTAGTCGCTCGCGATCTCATGCGGTGTACGGACTAACGCACTCAAGCATCCAAAACCTTCGCAATTCGGAACAATTGTCACTCCTTATCGTGACAAACACAAAACATGAGGTTACACACCCCCAAGGGTCCGTATGTGCTCAAACCCTACATGTGCACCTCATGGCCGTGCACGTGTATCGACGTACGGGAGCGTGCATCGTGTCCGCGATCAAACTTGCGTGAAAGATCCACACACAAAAACAACACTAAATCAGTCGACTGGCCCTTGGGAATCAGTCGACTGACACTCGGTCAGTCGACTGATGCTCGATCAGTCGACCGAATAGCAAACATTCACAATTAATAAGTTTCGATCGGCCGACTTATGATCTATCAGTCGACCGACACGAGAGGATCAAAATAAATCTGGATCATCTACCACTCACGAGGGTGATCCTTCAAAACCTATCGTACTTCAACAGAATGTGCTAAGCCAAAAACAATACTCGGAACACTTAAGGGGGTGTTTGGCTTGCTAAAAAAATGCAGCAAATGTAGCAGCAAATGTAGCACCAACAGTGAAGCATAAAAGCTGCCTTCATTATGATATGCAAGCAAAAATGGGAGAGGTTAAGTTCTTAACCTCAATCAAAATCATTTCTTTCAGTTAATGCCAATTGCCGAAGCAAATCATTGAAACAACACCAAGAGGCAGAAGTCACAGAAGTAGCTAATTATAAATTGGTTAAATTTCAGAAAAACCACCCTTAACTTTAGATGATTATCAGATAACCCCCCATAACTATCAAAATATCAGAAAACCCCCTCAAGTTTAGGGGTTAAAAAAATCCCTTTCAACTTTAAAATTTCAAAACTATCAAAGTTTCCATAAACATCACTAATCAAATTTAACTTGATTAATTAGGATTCTAATCCTAATCAATTCGTTTAGTCCATCAAAATAAAAAATAATTAGGGATGAGTTTGGAAAAAGATGAACTTGCCTTTGGGGAGCGATTCAATCTCTAAACGGATGATTCATACGAAATTTCTTCACAAAAGTTGTAGATCTCGTCCTCATATGGATCTTTGCTTCACAAAGTTTTTCCAAAATTAAAGTTTTTTTGGGTTTAGAGAGGGGGGAGTTGGCTGCTCAAACGACAGAGAGAAGGGAGGAAGAGAGAGATTCAGGTTGTTAATGACTAATGATTTTTTTTTATATATATATTAATATATATATAGATAGATATATATATATATATATAATATATATAAATTAATCCATTAGTCATTAACAACCTGAATCTGCTCTCTTCCTCCCTGGGCCACTCTATAAGAGAGGAGAGAGATAGAAGAAATGATTGAGAGGGATTCCATATGCAAATTAGGGGTTCCCTCTTCATTCATTTCTCTCTAATCTCTCTGCCTCTCTATAGAGCTGCCATCGGCACTCTATAGAAAAACCGATATATATAATATATATTATATATATTATATATATATATATATATATATATATATATATATATATAGGATTTTTAAAATAAATATCTCTTCTCTCTCTATTCTCACACCTAAAATTGAATAAAAGCACTCTCTTAGCCACATGGCGACCCCCTACGTTGCCACATGGCAGTCCAACATCAAAAGTGGGTGATAAATATCAAATCAATTAGATCATGCAGTGTTTTATCCGCCTTGAAAATCGGGTTTCAGTGTTCGTAGTTAGAACGCAACGAAACTTGACCCACAACACGGTCTCAACATTATAAGATCAATGACGCAAACATCGTGCCCATCTGATTAACAGAAAAATTACTAAAAATGAAAATGCGACAGATTTTAGCAGACTCGTGATACCGAGGCTGAAACTGCGAATCGATCTCAAATCGATTCCAATCTGATCCATTCCTCCCAGAATGATCACTAACCATAATAAAACTCATTAATTATTATTTAAAATTATTTTTCAAAATTTTAAATTTTCGGGGTTTTACCCCGGGTTGTGTTGTCATTTATTTCTCATCTCCTACACTTTCCTATGGAGAAAATGATCGCATAAGGAGTGGAATCGACCAGATTCCTCACATGCTCCTCCATGGTCTGTCTCCTCTTTATACTTCTAAATCAGTTTCATGCTTCTACTATGCGCAAGGAGTCACAAGCATGAAATCCTATCTCATTTAACTCATGTTTATGAAACGTTCGTCTGTTACCATCATGGAATATGTCAACTGTATGCCCCAAAGATATATTGTGTTTTCACTTTTTTATTAACTTAAAGTAACAAACTTAAAACTAGTTGAGGTCTTCTACTTTGCCAGGGTGTCCTTTGCCTTAGAAGCATAGTTGTCTCGTCTTAAGTTAATGTTTTCACATTGTTTCTATTGGTTATGTTGTTTTGTCTTAACTTCATTATCTATCAACCAAAAATACAGAAGTTTCTTGTCCTAGTGATTCTTTTCATATGGTAAGCATGCTTTTCTTAAACATTTATCTAATGGCTTGCATTTAAGTTTAGATTTTTTCTGGTCCTCATGAGATAGCGGCAAAATTTTAGATAACTGCTGTCCTTTACTGGCAAAGTTCCTTTCTCGATTTGAATATATCAGAGCCTCCAACTATTAAATCCTCCTCTTCAAAAGTTTCCCATTTATCCCTAGGTGAACATTTTATATTTGTGTGGTCACATTTATTTTCGTCAACACTTTGTGTATGTTAGCAGAACGCAATAACTATGATAGAATGATGAATATATTACTTATGTTCTCTCATAACTTTGCTCTGGTTATGTTTGTCAAGTCTGAGGTACAAGCGTCCATTATCATGGCACTCTATGAATCTGACTACATATCTTCTATGGAAGTGAGATAACCCTCCTAGATACATGTGAATGTTTTCAGGTTGCTGTTCTGTTGCTTACAGAAATCACACCAAAAAGCATAGCTGTTCACAATGCCACTGAAGTTGCTCGAATTGTTGCACGGTGAGACAATTATCCATTAACTTGCAGGAAGAAGAACAGCAGGATAGATCTTTTTTCTCTTGCCTTTGAATTAAATCATGCATTGCAAGGGGATAAGTTAATTGAAATTATCTCGACAGTAATATTCCATGTTACTTGTCTAGGTCAGGCCAGTTGCATGGCTTTCCTTAATCTTATATCCTGTTGGCCGTGTTGTCACTTTTCTTTCGATGGGAATGCTGAAGATGCTTGGTCTAAAAGGCAGAAGGTAAGTAAAATATATAGCTACTTGTTTTTCTTCTTTTGATTATTTTTTCGTGTTGTCTTTCATTATTGGGACTTTTGTAGTTTGTGTATAGAGTTGAGGGAAGCTACTACTGATAATATCCAGTACGTGATATTATCAGTCCATATCTAACATTTTGAATCCCAAATTAAAAATGTGTACTGTTGGTTATGATGTAATAGACATTAACTGCCTCGAAACAAAATATCAAATGATATTGATGTGTCTTAGTCACATAACCTGGTCAAAAAATCAAGCAACCTTATGGAAACTATTATGGTACACTGGTAAAATATGTTGAAATGCTTCAAACATTATTTCTGGATAGTTGATCTGTAGTTGATCATATCCAGTGGTACACATTTCAAATTTGAAATCAAAATTTCAGAATTTGATTGATCGAATCCACATTAAGTATTAGTAATAGCATATCTCATCCCCACCCTACCCCCTCCAAAAAAAACACACGCAGGGAAGGAGACATTGGTGTTTCCGCATCTAAATGTCTTTATTGTCCTTTTGCAACAAAAGAATGCCAAAGATGTCAGTTTGATTATTATAGAGATTATGCTCAGTTAGTACAACCTCAATTTTTTTTTTCTTTTGAAGAATCTTTTCCATTTAGGGGGATGGATGTTCCTCGAAGATGTTGACTTTGTGCCTCGAACTCTAGCTGCACTCTTAGGATCTACTAAGTAATTTCATTTCTTTATTTTTACTCACAGCTTAAATTTAATTTGATGTTAGTCCTGAATGTGATATGTTTACCATGAGTGGTACCCAGCTGTTAAATTTCTCATGTGATTAAAATTTCAAAGCTGTTATCTAACCATGATTGCTGGAGAGCATGGAGGTGCAATCCGTCCCTCCTTTTTCATTCCTGTATTTAGGATAAGCACCCAAAGTTCTCCCTTCTTTTCCCTTCACTCGCTGTATTGTAAAACTAAATGTTCCTCTTTCATCTTTATTCTCTTCACACTATATCATCTATGGCTATACGAGAGGAAACGAAAGTAGAGATGGTCAAGGATGTATGGTAATGGAGATGAAGAGAGGAAGTAGGAAAAGAATGTTGCTGGGAGAAAAGAAGGAAGGTTGCTGGATTGGTGAAGATGGAGGGATGAAAAAACACTGAGGTCCTTAAATACAGCTTCAAAGAGAATAACATCTGTTGGATTACAGGTGGAAGAAAGGGTATACACAAACATTAGGAATTAGCAGAATATTCCATGGCTTTGCACTAATGATACGGGTGGCAATTATCTCATGTTAGGAAGTCAGGTCAACCTTGAGCTGCTCCCTGTTTCTCTGGACCAAGCCTGACCTGATTATAAATCAGGGGAAATGTTCTGAGGTGACCTGACACAGTAGAATCATGTGATTAATCCTATTATTAAAGTGACTGAATCGATATTATGTCCAGTCAGTACCATTTCTTTTGGAAGTATACTATATTGATTTACAATGCATGATTTGTTTTTAAAGGAAAGATATAGTTCCTTAGTGTCCTTAATTTTCAGATTTTAATTTTTTTGGGTTGCGCATACTTTTATGAGGAAAAAAAATATTGAGCTAAATTTAGAGTAGGTAGAATAATAAGTTAGGAACTTATGTATGACCTTTTACAAGTAAGTTAATTGTATACAAAAAAGAGATGGAAGTACAGAAAAGCTGGGGGACTGTTCAGCAATGTTATGTTGTTTCTCATTGACAAAAAAGAAAAAATAAATCTAGGCAGGGTATTCACTTAGGAATCTTTATTCCTCTATTTGTTTCTATTTAGAGACTTGAATGCAGAAGGGAGTAGGGTTATTTTCTCTTGAGTTTCAAATCTTAGACTGAAGAGAGAGAGGTAAGAAGAAAGGTATGAGGTTTCATGGAAGCAAAGTACTGATCGATGGAGAGTAGACAGTTTGGAAATTTTTTTGGATACATTATGGGTGAGATAGGGTTTACATTAGTTATATATGTATAAATAAATGCTTAAATACGATTATAAGGAACTAAGAGACCCTGAACATGAAGATGGGCACCTAACCAAGAGCAGCCAGTCTGGCGTCCATATCATGCCTTGTGCATCTTTTCCTGTGTTGGCCTGTAGAATCCACCGAGGTGAGAAATTATAGGAATTCGTGGACTTTAATGGGGTTGGATTCTTACTAGCACAGAATGGTTAGATTTAGACAAGGGCATTAATCCCTTTATTGTTACTAACCCCCATTAAAAGCCGTCAGTTGCCAGATACTCGAGGCAGCCATTAGAAGCCTTATCATAACTATCTTTTACACAGGTGAATTATATTCTTTGTTCTCCATTTTTGTATCTGTACCGCTGTTGTAGGCTTGTAGCATCTTTCTATTCTCCTCCTCGTCTATTCTTCCTCTTTTCTCTCTCCTCTGCTCCCCTCTGTGCTGTATTCTTTAGCAGCTGCTGCTGCAAGACAGCAGAGAAGAAGAAATGTTATCTATTTATCATCTTTCCTTCTCTTCTCTCTTTTCCTATCTAGTAGCATACAAGTAGTAGCGCTTCTTTGCTTTTGGTTGTTATAGAGAGTCAGCAGCATCAACAAAGTAAACTCCACATATAGAAGTAATTGATTGCTGATGAACAATCTTGGATGCACACTTCTGGAGCCTATGTACGAATACTTTCAATATTCTACAGTATGGCCACATGGACTCAGTAATGTTCCTGGACAACTCTTGAAAATTTTGTTTTAAAACACCTATGCAACGCTGGCCGAGTGAATACAAACTTATCTACCTGACTACATTGGATCTCACCTGCAGCGGTCCATCTATGCTCTTGAGGTTAAGTTGGCGAACCAGAGTATACCATGCTAATGTCATCATCTAAACTGGGATGCGACGAAAGCCTGAGTGCACTATACAGTACAGCTTTTAGGATCATGAGGTTACAAGTGATAAGAGTCTGGCTGGCAACAGTGTCTTCTTATGTTCATCTGATGGTTCATCTTGGTAGGTTGAAATTTTAAAAAACATTTCATCTACTTATAAATTTTTAAGACCAGAAGCAGGTGAACCACATAGTAATGGGCGATACATTTTAAATGCGTATCACCTTGGAAATCTTCGATCACCATTTTGGTTTATTGTTCTTTACTGCTTTTGTCCAATAATAACATTATAATAATCCAAGTTTGTTCTCTTAATTACTGAAAGGACAAGCACATATAATCCAAGTTCGTTCTCTTAATTACTGAAAGGACAAGCACATAATATTATTTTTTCATTTATGTCAGAGCGTTAGGATACAAGGTAGAATCTTTGGTTATTGTTTTCAAGATAATTTCTCTTTCATCCTCTTCCGAACTAAAGCTAGTTTTTTGCAACAGATTTATCTTGATACTTTTTATCAATGTAGTGAACCGTATGTTACTGAGGAAGAACTGAAGTTGATGTTGCGTGGAGCTGAATTGAGTGGGGCAATAGAAGAAGAAGAGCAGGTGACAGAATCTCAGAACTTTTAGACTTGGTGCAGTTATTGATTTTGAACATCCTTTCTCAACTCTTCACTCTCTTTACTGGAATGTTCTATTTCAATAAACTACAGCTTCATTATTTCATAGCTTGAAATGATAGTTAAAAAGATGCTGACGAAACAGCTTCTTTCATCACAACAGTTTCAGACATTGTAGATTTAATTAGATTATTGGCAAAGAATGGCAAGAAATGGGTTTAGCTGAAAGGTAAACAATGAGATAGGGGACATAAATGGTGTATGAGAAGTATCAGAACACATGATAGGATAATAAACGAAAATGCATCTTTAAACTTAAACATTAAATGGGGTGGAATTGTTTAGAAGGTTTGATAATGTGCAATAGAGATCAATGAGAAGCCACTGCATTGGGTTTCCATGTGTTTGTGTCAGGAGAGGGAGGGAGATCAATAGGAATCATTTCACAGTGCAATTTGGACTCCGATTTTTCTGATATCTTATATTTCTTCATGTATTTATATACTTATTCAATCGAGTTCGTAACAGGACATGATTGAAAATGTGCTGGAGATAAAAGACACCCATGTCAGGGAAGTCATGACCCCTCTGGTAGATGTAGTTGCTATTGGTGCCAGCGCAACTCTTATTGACTTCCAGAAGTCATGGGAAACTCATCAGTACTCGAGGTTTGTGTTGGCTCAATTGCAATCCTCATTTGTTTGTTTATTAGTTTTCTTATAACCTAATACGACTGCAGAGTACCTGTGTTTGAGGAACGTGTTGATAACATCATGGGAATCGCTTATGCAATGGACATGCTTGAACACGTTGGAAAGGTTTGTTTGTTCATATTTTTTCTTTTTTGCTTATCTATGCTGTAGTTTGCTCCCTGAGACATTATTGTTTATACATCTTAACAACATTTTGTGGGTTCTGTAAGTAACTAAACACTATTTGCTGTTGAAGGTTGAGAAGCTTAAAGAAGCTACCGTGAAAGAAATTGCTCATCCCACATACTTCGTGCCTGGTAATGGAAATTTAAATTGGTTATTCAAATGAGTGTTTTTTGACACATCAAACTAACTTCTAGTCTTTCTAGACCTCGGATAGCATGAATACGGGTGCAGACACTGTCACAGAGATGGGACAAAACAAATTTGTAAAATGTAGGATACGGGGACACACACATATTACATTAGATCAAATATTGAATTGAAATACTCATAGCATTTGTATGTTTCTTTCTATTGTCCATAACAATTAAGAATCAAGATAAATCAAACTAAGAATAAGGTTTAACAACAAAAGTTAGTTTTGATCATATGAGATACTACAATGGATATATTTGAAATATGTAAGTAATGAGTTTTAGTTTTCGGGTTCAAAAACCAATTGGTTTTGAACCCAATATTACAAAAAAAAAAAACTACTTTAGAATATAAGTAATAGGAAAATGGGGTTTTGTTTTGAACCACGTGTCCATGACGTGTCCTTGGAGAATCTGTGTCCGATATGTGTCGGACACAGACATGGCACCCAAGACACTGGTTCTAAGTAACCTTCTAGGATGCACATATTTGTGTAAAGTTGTGTGCAACTCTGAATTTTTTTAATCACAACTCATGTAGATATTGAAATATGTTAGGATGCAACATTTGTGCACACATGTTAAATGTAAGTATGATTGTTTTATCACTTTAATTTAAACGGTTTGTGTTATGATAGTTGTTCACTGATGACTTTGGTCGATACTTTCTTTTGATGGTATTGCAGATTCAATGTCTGTGTGGAACCTGCTGAGAGAATTCCGCATAAGGAAGGTTCACATGGCTGTCGTTCTTAATGAATATGGTGGAACTGTTGGAGTATGTAGACATAACATTCTTTTTTGATTTCTAGAATATTTCATGCATCTTCCCAATTAGATCTTATGCCTGCATTTGGTTAATTATTTAACTCAAGAAATGTCTCTAGTATTTGTAGCACTGGCTTATACATTGCTTGCTAACAACTTGTTCTTTACGCCCATTTATTATGGTCATGGTGCAATGTATGTATATTTCATCTACTTGCTATGGCACATGAATAAATTAGCCTATCAGGAGGTTATTGTAGACTTGCAGATTAGCTGTTATTGTATGTTATCTTGCATATAATTTTAATATATCACTTTGCATTTGCCGTGACAGGGCTTGATTCTAGTAACATGCTGTTACATTTGCAATCATATTTGTTGTTAAGTTTTTCTCGGGATTTTTTGGGAAACCACCTTACAAATAGGGTCATTTACAGAAACCAAGGCATCTTTAAAGTCGTTTTTATTTTAATCAATTAACCTGCTAGCCAAATCTTCACTAAAAAACCCAAAAATAACTTCAAAAGAATACATGTTTACGTGACTTGTATCCTAACTAAATCTAAATATTAACCGAGTGAGTCACGTAATTTTGAATTTGAGTTTTTTAGGGTGTTTTTGGGGTTTTAGTGAAAATTTTGACTAGGAGGTGGTTGATTGGAATAAGAAACCCACTTTTAAGGTGGCTTTACGTATAAATTAAAAATGAAAGGCGGTCTTTATAAAATGACCCTATTTTTAAGGTGGTTTTTAGGGAAACCCTTTTTTCTCCCTAGTTACTAAAGTATTCCCTTATATTGGTTTTTTCCTAAGTTGAGATTTGGTTTCTAAAATGGGGGGCCTCTTTGCAGAGCTAATTGCGAGGGTAGGGCTGGATTTGAATTTTTTTATTATGAGGGCGCATATACAATTATACATATAATTTAATAACTTATATAATATAATTCTACTAATAGAAAAACTATTTACATAATACAAAGATCTTACCGCATAATATTTTCCATTGTCATTGCATACCTCTATGTGATCTCATCTTTTGTTCCACTCGAGGCATCTATTAAAATTGCACGGGGGCATCTATGCAAATTTATATATTTCTTAGACAAAAAAATTAAAAATTATGAGGAAAAGTGCCCCACAAGTGTTTTTATAGACTCATCCTTGTGTGAGAGATGTGTTTGTACATGGTAGTTGTCGTATTCTTATACTTTATATATATGTTGGGCTTTCTCCACCCCATATACACATTTGGTTATTTATGTGAATATCCATTTGCTAAAGTTAATCTGCACCATCTAATGCGATGCCTAAAACAAAAGTTATTTAGTGTTAGTTTCTCCATGCGTTAATGAGGCTCGAAATGAATGGTTTAAAAAGGAGTTAATTAATTTCACGCCGTAAAATGTTTTGAGTTCAAAAAAGTTGTCTTCTAGGAGTTATCAGTTGTATCAAGATCAAATATTTGGATGAGTATCATCTATATTCTAATGTGTACACCTATCATGAATACTATTTTCAGCCATATGCTTGTGCTTTCGTGATACATGGGTTTTAAAGTTTTTATGATGCTTGACTTTTGATTTCTAGGTACTTTAAAGGATGCATCTCAAATTCAACAGAATGGTCATAAAAATGGATACCTTAACATCATATTTCAATGGAAAGAATTTCGACCCAAATCCTATATGACCCAACTCCCTCTCCCTCTCCCTCTCCCTTATAGACACATAATAAGACAATGAGATGACATTCTTGTCATAAGCTTAGCAGAATAGGCTATTTGATATGATGATCACCACCATCCACGCAAATTTTCACACCACATGATCTATGTGTAGAAATTTTTTGTTGTTTAAATATTTCTTACTATTATATTTTTTTAGTTGCAAATATGAATGGCTATTATGTTGTGTGAAGAATTAACACATGAAACAAGTTTGATTCATATTCTAGAAGACTAAAAAACTATGTTACTTTTGTTTACCATGTAGAATTGATGATGATTTGAACAAGATCTACAAAGTCGATCATAAAATTGAAAATCCGATTAGTCTAGAGCACGATAAATTTTAGCTCACCAGCTCACAATATTGTTCCCCTCTATACATATACGTGTGTCTATGTATATATTTATGTATGCACTTATAGTAAGGTTTATATGTGTGTGTGTCTACACACACGTGTGTGTATGTCTACACACATGCATATATATATTATATATATAGAGAGAAAAACTTATGTCAACTTAAGTGGACCATCCACCAAACTTTTTATCCATTAATGATACCTAGGGATCCATGCAAGATATGAAGAGGCTTTTTATATATATATATATATATGAGTGGATAGAAAGTTTGGTGGACACAGGCTTCTTGTCTACTTAAGTTGACATAAGTTCACCCCTCTCTCTATATATATGTGTGTGTGTGTATGTATGTATGTATGTATGTATGTATGTATATATATAATTTATTAATTTTTTAATTAAAACCACCTACATTTGCTTACATGTTTACAATGTTACACATTAACCACTATTTAGCTAAAAAATCTAGAAGTACCTATTTTACCCCTCTATAACTCGTTTCCCTCTCCTCCCCGTCGTCCACCTCCTCCTTTCCCTCCCTCTGCCTCTCGCCGTCCTCTAACCTTCTCTACCATCTCCTCCACGTTTAGAATTTGTCCAAACTCTAATCTTTTCCCTCTCCTCCCCATCCACCAGTGGCCCCCTTCACCTCCTCCTTTTCCTCTCCCCTCCTCCCCGTCCTCTTTCACCTCCTCCACCTCCTGAGATCCTACAAAACCCAACCCTTTCCTCCTCTCCCCCTCAACAAATGGCCCCCTTCTCCTCCTCCATCCTCCCCTCTGCCTTCCTCTCCTCCTCCCTCTTCACTCTAATCGCTAACTCCCTCCCCTCCTCCTCTTCTGCCACCAGCCCATCATCGGCAGTCGCTCTACACCTCTCCTCTTCCTCTCCTCTTCTTCCTTATTTCAAGTTAGATTGGAGGGTGTAGTAGGGATTCCAATGTTTTTTAAAATAGAAAATGCAAAAAAGTGTGACATTGCAAACATGTAAGCAAAATATTGGCCAATGCACACATCTCGAAGATATCTTTCATGTCTAGCAAAAATCTCAAAACAAAATCAAAACCTAAAAAAGTTAGTGGATAAGAGTTTCTATTCACTAAAGTTTATAAGAGCTTTATTCTATTGTATATATGTGTGTGTATATATATGTGTGTATATGTCTGTATGTATATGTGTGTATAGTGAGAGAGAGGAAGTTTGGGAGAGGAATATAGGTATCCTTGTTACCAATGACCAAATTTGGTCATTGGTAGTGATGTGATCAATTCTCATCTACCCACTCAATGAGTGAGTAATCATGTGGGGACCATTTTCAAGTGGGTAACTTTAAATGTGTGGCTGAGAAGTTTTGTAAACATGTTTTATAAAGAGCTGCTTTATTCAAAACAAGAATGAGTAGATAGATGATGAAAAATCGTCAAAAACCTGTTTTTATCCATGTCCATTTATGCCAAGAGAACCAAGATTATTGGCGTGAATCATCCACTTGGATGGCCCATTGTGTAGTTCGAAAGTTGAGATGAAATTTTAAGTTCGTCCTTAGGGAGCTTTCGGGCTTACATGATGGTGTTTGTGTGTATATATTATACTATAATAATGAACTATGTTTTGGAACCATTAGACGAATGGTTTAGAAATCTTCATTCACATATTGTTTTTGTAATGTTTAGGTTAAGATGAACAATTTGGATTTTGCATTAAGGAGGGTTTTAAATATCATATAACATGTCCAAAACAATTTGGATTTTGCATTAAGAAGGGTTTTAAATATCATATAACGGTTAAGATGAACGGTTTTATCCATGTCCATTTATGCCAAGAGAACCAAGATTATTGGCGTGGATCATCCACTTGGATGGCCCATTGTGTAGTTCGAAAGTTGAGATCAAATTTTAAGTTCGTCCTTAGGGAGCTTTCGGGCTTACATGATGGTGTTTGTGTGTATATATTATACTATAATAATGAACTATGTTTTGGAACCATTAGATGAACGGTTTAGAAATCTTCATTCACATATTGTTTTTGTAATGATTAGGTTGAGATGAACAATTTGGATTTTGCATTAAGAAGAGTTTTAAATATCATATAACATAAAATATCAAATGACCAAAAGCAATATCAGATTGTGGATATTGGCAAAATATTGGAGATATATGGTAAATATCAAAGTGTCATATCGGGTGATATGCATATATAATATAATGTCCTAAAATATAATATAAACATATTTAATGAAATCTGAGCACAACAATATATAAATAATATATGTTTAGGATCACTGACTAATTGCAGAAACTTATGGAAAGGAACCTATTAGAATATTCTAAAAGTTTCATAGGGCTAGAATGTTGCTTAAAACATTAAAGTAGTTGTGTATAACTATATTATCTTGCGAAAATTCATATGAAAGACATATTGCCCAAGTTACAGGCTGATATGTTGGCCATCTTGGGGATATAAAGTGGGAAAAGGTATTGAGACCTAATTGTTTTGTAACAGACCTTATAAAAGGATATATTGGCTGATATATCGATTATATCAGGGATATTTAAAATAATGACATTAAGTAACCAATTATGTAGTCTAATAGGAAGCAACAAGCTTTAAGTTTATTTCAGGTAACTTCAAATATATATATATATATATATATATATATATATGCATATGTGTGTGTATACTATTTGTATGTATATGTATCTATATTTTATGTAGCAATTGGATCTATATGTAGGACTAGGTGATGCAGGACAATCATGGGCCGTTGATCAAAAGATTTTAGGATTTACTAGAATCACTTTTATTTTAGTATTATCTGATGTTCTTTATTATTAGATAATATTTTCTTACGATTTATTTTAGGAATCACTTGTGTCTCGTTTGGTATGCGGGAATGAAGTCAAGTAAGAATGGAATGAAGATAGGATTAGGAATGTGATTGAATTGATGTGGGAATGGAATGCTCATTCTCATTTTCATATTCAGTTGCAATTAGGCAATTAAGTGAGAATATCTTTAAGAAGGGTCCATCTGAAATGTATTTTATTATTTATATTCTCACTTAAGTGGGGATATCAATTCCTTGATAACTCATTGGGAAATGTAATTCCCACACTAAGTGGGAATGACATTTCTAGTGTCTAAAAACACATCATGTTTGATAAGTATGAATGAGAAGTTGGAATTGTATTCTATTCCCGCTCATTCCTGCATACCAAAGAGACGTTAGAATCTTTGAGAATTTACTTTGTTAGGTATTTTATTTTGTTTCCTTTTGGTTAGGATTTGATTATGATTTTTATTTGTTTCATTAACTGTTTAGATGCTTTCTTTTTCCATAAATAAAATATGTAATCCTCCATGAGGGATAACCATTGATGAATGAAAAAAGGAATCTGAGTTATGAGAATTCTCTCTTGAGCATGTGAGGTGTTTTTTGGCATGTGGTTTGCCACTTTTGGCTTGGGTGTGAAGTCCCTAGGTGTGAGGCCTAGTTATATCCAAGTTCTCCACTTTAAATCTATCCCTACTCACACATTCTCCCAAAATATTAATCCTTGAAAATATCCCTTTTAACTGATCATGGATGAACAGTAATCTTATCTGTTCTATTGTGAGGACAATAGTTTGTTCTGTTCATCTATCGCCTCCTCAAGATCCGAAACCATCCACGTCCACCTCTGATGCTCCTTCAAATCTAACTACGAACTACGATAATGATCTCTGTTCGAGTATCGTCGCCGAATCTCCTCTGATTGACCCTCCATGAGTTATGATTCCTTGCAGTCAAGGCATTACAACATGGATGTGGAAAGTTATCGACGACTTAAAAATCCGCGTGCTTCTTTTAGATCCCTATCTGATTCGGGTACTCGTGAAAGTAACAATATTAAGAACCTCGTACTTTTCATTTAGACCCTGATTGGCGTTGAAGGCAGCACATTGGAGAGCCTTTTACTTTTGGATCAGAGCCCCGTCCCGATCCGGATCACTAGGATTAGATAGGTGGGATCGTGTCGTCTCAGAAAAAGTTGGAGATGATGTGATCCCACTATTTCTACCATACGTTGACCTCATTTAGTGATAGAATAATATAAGAGATTCTATCTAGTAAAGAGGAGAGAGGCACATCCTGCATGTTGGTAGACATGGATGTCTTGTTGTCCACGTATGTGCTGCTGCCACTTCCTGTTGCTGTACATGTCTATTTGCACATTTATGGATCCCTGTCATTTATTTGAAAATCTGTATCAGCTTATCCACCATGCAAAGAACATATCTTATATGATGCAAGCTGTTATTGTTTAACTCTGGTATCACCTGCTGATTTTGACATTTTGTTGAACATGGATCTCTACTATTTGCAGTGATTGCAGTCTCAATTCCTTGGCTTAAACTCTTATGTCATGGAAGTATGTTATTGAGCAGAACTAGTATGCATTGTTATTCTTTCTGTTTGTTTGCTGGTATCATGACCTCAAGTTTTAGATTCTGTTTGCGTCAGGCATTAGCTAGTCTCAAAATAATGTTTTTCTTCTGTTCACTTCTTGATTTCATTGAGCTTCTCCTTTTTATTATGAAATTTGTCTCTTTGGACTAAAATGCAAATATGTTTAGCTACAGTTCTATTCATTGCATGGTTTTCATATACTCTGGTTTATTTACTAAAGAACATTTTTGCTTTGTCTTACCCCACTGCTTACCCCCTCTAGATAATCCCAGCATTTTTGGTTCATCTAGCATCCTTGAGTTTTTAATTTGTACTTCCCATTCTATTATTGGTTTGTACTTGTGCACCACAACGACCTGTTTGCATATTCTCTCTGTAACAGTTATTTGCTAGTATTTCTGTTGCTTTAAATAAAAGATTTCTCTAGGGAATCTGGTGTTTTTGCATTGACCATTTTGAGTCCATGTTTATCGCTCAGACCATCTTGTATGGAAAATCCTTAATTATTGAGTGTACTTAAATCCTCAAATGGAAGTTGAATTGAGTACTTGTAGAAAAGATCTTGGGGTAACTTGGTATTATATAACATCCACAAGTTCCTCATTTGGTACTTGTTTTGGACCGTTGATGATTTTGTATTTTATGTTTCTTGCATTTTCTCCCCTTCAACAAAGCTCAAATTTGTTCTGACATATGAAGAACATTGTTTTACAGATTGTGACTTTGGAAGATGTTGTTGAAGAAATTGTTGGCGAAATTTTTGATGAAAATGATTCGAAGGTAAAGAGAACTTTTGGGCATCATTTGGTATTGCTTCACGTCTAAAGTTTATAACTTCTGTTCCATTACGTTTTTTTGCTGACACAATTGCTTCATTGATTATGCCTCTTGCTGTTTTGTCAGTTCTCTTCATGCTTCTCTTGTATTTTTATGTTAATTTCTTCTCTTATAAATATTGTCTTGCTTATTTTTTTCTTGTATAATATGATGTTGTGCATGTGTATTTCTAATGTGCATGCTTTGCTTTTCCTTCACAAATACTTTCTGCTATTTAATTGTAGATTCTAATTTGTAGTGTGACCTTATTCTTTTGCCTTTTTGCAAAATTAGCTGCATTCAAACTATGTGCTCTAACTGCCATGCTGTAGTTGGATTTCTCTTTTATGTTGGTCTTTAGTAATATACTTTGTACTACCTTGGTCCATGAAGGTATTCTATAGTTTGGTTGCAATTTTCCTTGTGTATTCATAATTTTCTTCTTGATTCACAGTATTTTGCTAGGAAAATCAAGGTTAAGAAGTTCTTGTGACATTAATAAATTTAACTATGTCAATAAATGTCTGGCAGTGCTTTCAGTTGATCATAAACCATGATTGAGTCGAGAAGTGCAAACTTTCAAGATTTAAGTTGGTCAATAAACTATTAACTAAACTTTGTAATAAGTCTTGATCAATAAATAAGGTATAATATGATTATTAACCAGTAAATTGTTAATTAAATAGTTAATGTCATGGTCTGATGTTCCTAGTTAAAAGTAAAGTGCGAGTTAGCTCTTAATCAATTCATAGTAGGGTGGTGCTACAGGGACCCAAAGACATGTGACCCTACATGGGACAGGTGAGGTGTCGGCTCCCTGTCCCATGATGCACTGTTCATGAACAATGCATCATGGGACAGGGAGCCGACACCTCACCTGTCCCATGTAGGGTCCCTAAGGCATTTTTCACTAAGAGATGAACTTTGTGAAGAAATGTTTGTCAAAATTCTATATTTTACAAGAACTTTGTTTTGAGTATAAGGAATGAATGTCTTTTGTCACTTATTTAACTATGAGGAATCTAAGGATATGTATTTAACTATAAGGAATCTAAGTATATGTATTTAACTACAAGGAATCTAAGGATATGTATATAAGCATAAAACATGAGTAAATGTACAATTTAGTTTAGGCATTTATTCTTAAATTCCTAGTAAAGACTGTTCATTGAGTTTTGGTGTCATGACCTCTCTTGTATGTACTTGGAGATGCTGCGAAGTTGAACTACAAGGAATCTACTGGTTCTGTACATCTAGAGACTGTTCATTGAGTTTTGGTGTCATGGCCTCTCTTATATGTACTTGGAGATTTCACGAAATTGAACAACCCAATGGGCTTATGTCAGCTTGAAAACTGGTCACAAAAACTTGGTCAATTTACGTTTTGTGGAGTTCTCTGATCTTTGGGCCTGTCCATTCAAGACAAATCCATTTTGTCAGGAGAAGGCTTAGGTGATGAAGATGATAGGTGTAGTTTAATTAAATCCATCTTCCAGTACCTGATAGAAACTCATAACAGAGTAGTCATAATCCCTGTATTAGCTTGTTCAGACCTAGCCAGAAAGAGAGGTGGCTTTTAGATTTGGGAGCCTGTTTCACTCGTTTGTGGATGCCATCTTTATTTATTGGTGTTTATGCTATCATTTATTTATTTTGAATTATGTGCACACATTCTTAGTTAATTTGGTATAATGTAGGAGGAGATCCAGAAGAAAACTGGATATATTATTATGCAAGAAGATGGAACATTTGATGTGGATGCAAATACGTCAATAGACCAACTTTCTGAAGAACTGGATGTCAAAATACCGGAGGTTTGTAGTATTGTATTCTAAAATTTATGTACTCAATTATAACCTTCTTTCCTGCACACGCATCTTAATAAAAAAGAAAAAAAGAAAGGGAAAAACTCTCTGGTATGGTACTAACAATGACTTCATATCAGAGATGTTCCTGCTGGTGTTTGACCTTAATTTTGTATGTATACTGGATCTAGCAGAACTATTCAAAACAAGTGAGATGGAAGTATATCCTTATTAATCATCCATCGCTCTGATATGGTTTGTATGATAATTATAAGTTTTTTAAGGTTGCAATACAGATTTCATGAGTACTATGTAGAATTTGATTCTGTTTTGTGCAAAGCAGATGTGTAGATAAAAGGGGGGAAAAGGGGATTACACTGATAAGGAATGCAAAAAAGAAAGAAAAGGAGTAGCATTATTCTCCTATCACTCCTGAACTTTGAAAACATTATTATCTGTCTGATGATTTAGATAGAAACTATCAGGGCTTGATGTAAAAAGATGACTGGTTTAGGAAAAGTGCTTATATATAATAATTTCCATATTTCTCTTGTGCTGGCCAGTGATCATGTTCTTACAATAGACATGCACTTCTCACCCCCTAAATGAGCTTTGGCATAGAAGTTTCTATGCCTTGTTGTTCGTAATTTTTGTCCATCGAGATCTTATTTGCTCATATTTTCCTCTTCTATAAAGCTTACACGACTAAATCAACTTGTTTTAAAAAACATCCGCCTAGTCCGCTTAGGCGTACGCCTAGGCCTAGGCGGTACCTAGGCCGCCTAACGAGCGCCTAGCGCATAGGCGGTATTTAGGATGCCTACCTAGATTCTACGAGCGTTTAGGGGAGCATTGTCTGCTTACATGGATTGCACCCTGTAGGCTTTGATTGTGATTTTATGTGTCGTAGCCTACACGTCCTCCAAACTCTATTAACCTCCAAATATGAACACCACTACCTCCTCCGACCTTCAGCAAAACCTCATTGACCACCACTTAAATGAAGAAAGAAAAAAAAAACGCCCAGAAACCGCTTAAGCGCCCACCTAGGCGACTAAGCGCTGGGCGCCAAGTCCGACGCCTAGAAGCGCTCAACGTTTAATGTAACATTGACTAAATCATAGTGTAGCCAAAACTTTAAAATAACAATGAAAAATCGAGGTTTGTTCCCATTATTTGGGTTCAGGCTGTTCAGCCTCCCACATATCATTTCCCATAAATTATAATTTAGCTCAGTCATCTTTTATCCTTTTTCGACAGTTCCATTTGTTTTATCAACCCGTATCTGTTTTTCCCAGTGATCTAGCAGCTAATCTTATGCATATACCATAGTGGTGTTATTGTATTTGATTACTTGTCCATATTGTCCATGGCAATATGAATCCTACATATCTAATGCACTTATTGTCACCTTATCTTTCGTTGCCATATCTTTCAAGTGTACTAGTCATGCATGTTTACGTTCTTGTTTCTGCTGCAACATATTTGTTGCTTGAAATATATTCTCAAGCACATAATTTTTTTCCTAATAGCATCTTATCCTCCAAGGTTTTTCGCTTCTGGTTCCTTTGGTTTAGCATCTACATCTTCCCATCACTGATTTGTAGATACAAATTCTGAAACTGTACATGTGGTAGTTCCTGATATTAGATAGTAATGATGTTAAAAAATGTGTGACTTCATGGTGACCCATGATGATAGGCTCAAAACTCTAATGTACATACTCCAACTTGCATTTACGTGCCGTATCAAGAAACTTGATTCCCTGTAATCCTATCATGTAACTTGATAATATATGCCATGTTTTCATGTAATAAATGTAATGCGAGGATGATTATCATTTTGTAGCGTGACTTCACTCACACTCCTTAATTGTAATTTAATTTTACTTTTCTGAAACTGGAATCTAGGCAATCACTTTCTTCTTATATGTCATTTTTGTTTTGTTGAAACTTATGTTGACCTCTTTCTTTTGTCGAACTTATGGATCTGGTTATATAAACCAGATATGAAGGCACTGAAGCAGAAAACTTAAAAAGCTATTAGAAATTTTGCAGATGAATAAACAGTTTCGCATGCCTGCATAATAAACACACCTCATAGAGTTTGTCATTCCCATGCTGACATCCATTTCTGAACTCTGAAGTCATCAAATATCAGAGTAGTGAGATCCCTTTGAGATGATGACCTAATGGCTTAATGTGGATCTCCACGTATGAAAAAAGAGTAACCAATTCAGGAACAATAAATGGTTCAATAATCCATTAAAAGAAGTCTACATAAAGAATAAAAATAGAAAGCCCTTGATATGTAAGAAATACTTCAACCATACATGTAGAAATCTTCCTGAATGTGGAAGAAAAGTAGCGGATGCCTATGAGCAAGATCTGAATTTCTTTGACTTCACGAATGGTAGGTTGTGCATAAGAGGACCAGCAATAAGGGAGAATTGAAATGCTTCTGCAGATGTAGCATTCCCTTCAGGAGCAAAAGCGACAGCAATTGTCCATTAATATCAGCAAAACCTCTTTTTTCATCAATCTGAATTGATGGATGGGGTAGATAATTAGATCCTCTTGGAGAGCTGCAACATTTGATAGATAAGTAGGAGAGCTAATTAATCCGGGAACTCTTCAGCAGTAAGAGGACCCTTTTGAACACCCATAGGCCATAAGCAAGATCAGAACATGAAGGACGATGGACTGGAGAATTGGGTTGTTTTGAATTATGATAAAATCAATCTGAAAGTTCTAATCTCCTTATTGATGTATTAAGTACATGTAATTTTGAACTTCTGTAGACAGTAGTTAGATAGACATCAGTTCCTCTTTTCTTTTATCTGCATTTTTTTTTGCACGTGATATTTTCTCTAAGTTTACCTAAATTTTCTTATGATTTGTTGTGCTTTTTCATGCTATTATCATGGCTCAACAGCATCCATCTAGAATAGGTAATAGAGTTGATTGGTTAGTGATTGTTTCTTCTTAATGTTTTAACTGATATACTAATGCATTGTTAGCATCATTATTAGTCACTGAGTAGAATGAACCTGTGCCTTCAAAAAGTAAATTATTTGTAATTCCATTGGAATTGGGTGGAATAATTGTGTTGTTTTCTGAACATCTATGTCATGATCCCAGGGTCATCAGTATGAAACTGTATCTGGTTTCATCTGTGAGACATTTGGATACATACCAGAAGAAGGTGCTAAGATGGTCGTGCTACTTGAAAGGGAAAATCAGGAAGAGAATAATGAGTATGCGGGCACAGAATCTGACAACCATGATGAGAAGGAAAAGCATCAAACTTTTGAACTTGAGGTATTTCTTGAATCATTATTCATACACACTTGTTAAAATGTATCTTATCAGTATCCATCATTTATAGAGCAATACGGCTGGCTTATTGCAAAATGTGACCAACTCAAACCAGCAAGGGTTAATATAAACTAGACAAACGACACAGGGTCTCAAGGGCTAGAAGGCAAACCAACATTTTAGATGTTTTGTTAACTTCATTGGTCTAGCTTCCACATATGCAGTATTATTTTGGTCTCATGTGCATTGCAAGTGCCAACAACTAGTGATTATTATAAGTTCTGATCCTTTTATTGTCAATCAGATTCATAAATTGGAAAGTGTAAATACAAGTACTCTGATACTGTTTCACTAATTTGGAGACATACTCCCTATACAAATTTTTTTTTTTGTATTTCTTTCCTGTACTGTGCACATCCACAAATTCCATCAAACTACAATCATTTCTTTATTTCTTGTTCCATCCTGCTAAGAAGAAAAGTTTCATTGCTAAATTTAAAGAAGATTGAAACCATTAGTACATTTTTAGAAAACGATTGAAATATCATTAATTTGAAGAGTGTTCCTCTCGGAGATTACATAGGTAGTTATCTATGGAGGCTATGGATGATCTCCACCGACTTTTATGATCTCCATGCTTAAAATGGTACGACAAGAAAACAACATTATAACTCAACATCATAATTGAGTCACTACAAGAGGTATTTCTCTCATAGTACCGCAAACAAGGTCAATCCATCAATAACTCACTAGTGTTGTAAATCCATTGGCATGGCCCATCCTGAAATCTATCGTAGGTACTTTCAAAGGTAGTTAGCATCAAAATTTTTTCCTATATTTTTGTTTATGTATAGTATATAGTCAATTTTTTGCGTGTGCATCTTTATCTATAAGTACTCCTAAAAGTTAATAGCTCAGAGTATTTTCCTCGTTGATTTTTTCCTTACAGAGGTATATTAGCCATTAAGGATATAAAAACTCGTAGAATAAACTAGGTGGCTTTGTACTTTTGAGAGAATCAAACAATAAATGGACATTAAAATTGGTTTCTTCTTAAAATTTATGTAAATATCCTATTCAATCCTTAAGACATCTAAGCAACTATATCCATATGCAGTCATCTTTATTTGGTAATTTATCTCGAAAACATAATTTAGTTAAAAATATAAAATAAAAACTCATTGTGTCAAAGGTTTGTGGAAAACGTAAAGTGGAGCGAAGCGGGGAGACATCACTTAGGATTTTTGGGGCTTAAGTGGTTCAAAATGGAATGAAGAGTCTATTAAAAAATTGGTTCAGTTTAAATATGAATAAATATTAGAAAAAATATTCAAGAAAAATTTAAAAATTCTACAAATGCATATTTGATGAGTTGTAGATATCCAAAGCCGGAAATAAACATGTAATAATCACAAAATATTAACAAAGTATTGTACTAAAAGCAAAACTTCTATAAGAGTGCAAAGATATACATGTTTATAAAAAAAAACCGTTGTTCATTCTTTCAAACTTTCAAGTTCCTCTCGTAGAAAATTTTTCGACTATAGAAATACATTGATTAGTAGCGACATAATTATTACGTATTAAATATTTAAATCTTGACATAAAATAAAATCTTTAAGCATAGATACTAAGAGTATAGATCCTAATTAAGCTGTGAAGATCAAGCCACGAATACATGTCCAAACTCTAAAGTCTAAAAACCAAGAAAAATAGAATTCAAATTGCTCAAAACTCAACTCTAAAGGCGTGCAATCATTTATCATTATGATACCCTATGTTTAGTCCCATGTTATAAAATGAGTAGAGTGTGAGACTTTATAAGCTAAAGTCATGGGAGTCAAGTGTAACATTAACTAGTCAATTTTGGTAGTAGTTTAAGTTAAACAATGTGTGGCACTTAGTGGATCCCGTGGCTTATGGCTGCCAACATGCTCACGGGCTCGGGGTGTGACAAATGTTATCAGAGCTGTCGAAAGTGTAGAACTAAGTGTCATGCGAGACTAAGTGCTACACCGCATGAGTGCCGTGAGAGTCAATACCTAGAACTCGTGGGAGTCATCTCTAGAGTCCTCATTGCTTGGTGGTAATGTCGGGACAAACCAATTGTCATGCAGCGATTGGGACGTCGCGTATATTTAAAGATGGGAGTGCTTGTAATACCCTAAGTTTAATCCCACATTGAAAAATAAGTAGTGAGAGGCTCTATAAGCTAAAGTCCTGAGAATCAAATGTAACATTGACTAGTCAATTTTGATAGTAGTTTGAGCCAAATAACGTGTTACACTCACTAGGTCCCACAAGATATAAAATGCCAGTAGATTCATAGGTCTGGGCCATGACAATCATTATCATTAAGAGTGTCGAGTAGCAAAATCTCAGTTCTCAAAGCATCCTCGTCACTATCATAATGAAGTTCGTTATCCTCATATGAGTCCAAGTCCTTAACAATCACCTACTTGTCCTCGCTTGACCTCAGGGGCTCTTGAACTAGAAGCCCTATTTTCTCGCCATGTGGTCCTCCTCCGTTGTAAAAATTAATTGCACCAGCTGCTTTGAAAAGAACTCAAGTGACATGTTAGTTTCCGGATAACAATCCTCATCCTCCTTAGAGTCATATCCCTCCACCAACCATGAGGCAGCCTTCGTAGCATCTTTAGCAAGGAGGATATCCCATTTGTTTCTATCCGTCCTTGTCTCCATTTTAATTATGACCCTCAAATTGAATTGCAAATAAACCAAATCGCTCAGCCTCTTGTTATCCAACTTACTCCTTTTTTGCGTGGATTTACAATTCAATGACATAGAAATATTGGTAACATTGTCCATCAATACATCACTTACCATTTGATCTAATATTTTAGTATGGACATTTGAATTTATAAGTTTAAACAAGACTTAGTGAGTAATTACCTCTTCGAAGCACCTTCAGATTCTCTCACATCCAGAGGAGCTACCCGTCAAACTCAAGATCCTAAGAGCCATGATCTGGAGATAAGACATCTTTCCATCAATTGTGTCCCACCAATGAGCCGTTTGAAGATAGAAAATTTATCAAGTTCAAAACTAGCAGATAGTATAATCAATTTATAATGTCAAAATAATATTATTTAATATTTGGATGAAGATTCCCTGCAAACAACTTTACTCTCTGGTGGTTTCCTATGGAAACCTTCTCTCTTCTTGTACCTCAACATCTTTATTGAGTATATCCTATCAACTATAACATCATCGTTAAAAAATGCCTCTATACAATCAGGAATCGCTTTATTAGCTTCCACTCTTCTTAGCCATCTCATCCTTCACATATTACTAAAAAGGATTCAGGAATATTGTAGCCAGAGAAGGAGATATCAAGCTATCCTTAGCATGTCCCTCTATAATAGATATAACTGGCTCGTGTCTTAATGTTCGTGTAAGCAGTTGTGAATCTTGTGATGTCTCTTCACAATTATCAGTTCTTGAACAATACATTATATGAGGGACATATCAGAATTGACTGTGCAAAGAAATCTGAAAATAGATGTGAAGACCTTAAAGCAAACCTTCACACTAGTCGAATAGGTCTTCGAAACCACAATAACATTTGCTACGATGCTACCTCAGGTTTCCTATTTGTATTCCTAACAAACTTCCTGTTTTCATACTCAGGAGAATTGTTAATTGCAATAAGTTTCTCCTTTTCCAACAAGTTCGTTAATGTGAGGATGGGATAGTAAATCTAGTGGTGCCTAGCCTAACAATATTCTTCTTCTTTGTACGTTGGCGCATAAGAGCTGAAGTCCTGTGGTGGCTATAGGCAAAACTAGTCAACATGTTTGCTCTTGCAATCGTATTCTTAAATTTGGAAAATTTCTCAATTGATACATAGTGCATGCTACTTAGCCTGGACCAAACTATTTAATAGCTTCACACATTGCTGAAGGAATGAGTGTCAATGCTAGAAATCCCCGCTTCATAGGTCCAAAGAGAAACACATTCAAAGAAAAAAAAATAATTAAAGTTAAACAAGAATAATAAAAAATAATAATCGTGCAATTTTCTCATCCAAAACATTCCATCTTTTAAGCAGTTTGCTACTAAAGTCATACAGAACTCCAAAAAACCTAACCAAGATTAGACGTAAAGAGAGAATGGGTGGAGATCTAGCCTTTGTTTGGAAATTTGATAAATCGAGGCTAGCCTTGGTTTATTCCAAACCAGGCTAGGATAGGTCCTGGGTAGCAGATGGACCAATTCTGGCTTGGTTAAGGGGCCATAAAAGAGCGAAGAAAAGTTGGGCTAGAACTGATCCAATTTTTTCCATGCACAAAACAATACAAACTTGATCAGGTTTGAACCTGGTCCAGTTTTAGGGTGTTGTCAAACAGACCCCCAGACTTTGTATATACTTCCTCTTCAATAGATAGTACTTCATTACAGAGTGGAATGTAATTAAGCTATTGCTTTATGCACATGGATCTAGACACTAAATGGAGAAGCAATTTTATCGTTTAAATTTGGAATGTTGGATCTGTTTAGTAGTATAGTGATTTTTTTACCATAATTAATACAACAATGTTGGAAGGTCTAGATCAAATAAGAATAAATGAGACTCAAATTCAAGAAGGAGAAAATAACTAGAATAAAGAGGGGATCATGTTTTAATTCGAGTTATTTCTCATCATAAGTCTATGGAAAAGTTCAAACTTTCAACTATAATATAATATGTTTAGACTCTGCTGCAAAATTAGAAATATAATTCCATAATATTCCAAGATCAAGTTAAATGACAATGTGATCATTTAAATTTTAAACATATTATCAACATCATAAACTTGGGTGAAAGTGAACCGAATAAGTTGTGAAGCACGTGGGTGGGGGCCACAATGTTGAGTAGCAAAACCGCCTAAAGAGATTTTCCTCACGCAGGGTTTCGTGGGGACGTGGGGTCCACCCACGTGCTTGAAATCGAAACCCACGCCCACGCAAGATTTCTCGCGGGCGCTGAGTTCGAAAGGCCCACCCGAGATTAGCAAAGCTATATATATAGCTTGCCTAGGGTTTCGTGTAGTTCGTGCAAAAAGAGGGGGTGTGGTTTAAGTTGGCAGAGGGAAAAAAGGTGCGGCGGCGTGCAGTTCTCCTGGGGTTTCGTGCTAGGCAGGAGAAAATCGCAGAGTTCTCTTGCGGCTGTGCTTGGTGAAGAAAAAACAGCGTCCTTTTGAGAGGGTTTTTGGTATTCCCTTTGTGAGAGATTTGAGAGTTATTTGAGGGTTTAATTTGTGAGAGTTGTGTGATTGTAAACCCATTTGTATTCTCTTTCTATCTAATAGTAGATCCCCCTCCTTGCCCCGTGGACGTAGGCAACTTGCCGAACCATGTTAAAATTGATTGTTCGTGCTGTGATTTGTAATAGAGAGTTTAGGTTCCTTCAACAAGTCAGTCCTAGAACTGATGAGAGGAAGGGTTGATATCCCACTTTGTTGAGATATTTTACTTTCGGTTCTTGTTTTCTTTGTGAAACAGGGATTTAGTTGAGATCTACTCTCTTGTCGAGCACCAGAGGTAATACCGAAATTCCCGCTGCGCACAACATAAGTAACAAATAGTTTGATTATTATTCATCCAACTACTCGATCATCTCTGATTCGATAGCTCATTGAACAACAAAACAAACAATTGTTAGTATTCGATTCATGAACAAATACAATTTAACCAGAAGTATGTTCAATTCGTTTGATTATCAAATATTTATTAAAGTTTTATATTATTTGATGGTAGATTAGACATTTAAAAAAAATTTAATTAGTATATTCTGATGTGTGAACTTGAATGAAAGAAGCAATTTATAGGGAAAATCAACAATTTTGATGTTTTGTAAGAAAGGTTTACAAATATATAAAATTTATGGATGTATGTGCAAAAAACCTCAAACAAGTGAAAAAAATAAAATAGTGAGAATCGTGTGCTCGAACCAGCGACCGGCCATTAAAAATTCGAAGCACCCAAGCATGCGGGCATGTGGACACTCATGCATTATTATTGAATGTCTCATATAGTCGAATTGAATATGAACATCATCGAGGTATTTGACCCGAATTCGAATGTTAAACAATGACCCAAATTCGAATATTATGATATTTGATTTGATTCAGTTGTTTCCCACTCCTACATGAAAGTGGTTGAGAGTTGAAACGTTAGATGAGACTGGAGGTGGATGGGGATGGGGCTGGAAGGAGGAGGTGGATGAGACTGGAGGCAGAAAATTTAGGGTCTTGGTTTTTTTGGGTTCGGACCAGAGAAGGTAGATAATCATGTTGGCTTGAGGTTTTAGTTTTTAACAAGCGGGTCATGTTCAGGTCTGTTAGGCATTATCTGCCCCCTTTTTTATCACCTCATTTTTGTTATGTACGCGCTATAAAGCATATTAAAGCGCTTTTAAGTGCTTTTATGCGCTTTTTTGCTCCTTTACGAGTGGAAAGCGGCATGGGCTCTTAACAGAGGCGCTTTCAGCGGAAGCAATGTGGCATGGGGCTGCTTTCACTGTCAGAAGCACTTTAAAGTACTTCTTTCAACACTGATTCTGTTGTTATTGGTGTTACATGCTTCTGTTGTGTCACTGTGTGCGTGCGCGCACATGTGCCTGCATGTTTGCACACGTGCATACGTCCCTGCATTGTACATCATTGTGCATGCATGGGCATGAACACGTGCATGCATGGTCATCCATATCAGTAACCATCAAAAGTTTCGAAGGTTGGGACAAAGTTTTAAGCTTGGGCTTAGAAAAATTTAAAAGCTTTATTTTGCGTGTACTCAAATCATAATTCTAGACAAACTCTTAGATATCTCAATTCAATAATTGTTCTAACGTAGGAGTGCCATAACAGTTGACTCTTCTGGTAACAATTAGGTCTAAAATTATTCTTTTTTCTCCTTTGATTGGTAATTCTTTCCCTCCTTTGATTAGCACTTGCTGAACTGATTTAGCTTCACTTCCAATCATTTCAGATTGATTAAGCTTCACTTTCAATCATTTCACAGCTTCTGTTGTATGCTGATGTGGTTTGGTATATGTAGATATTGGAAGCTAATGAGAGGAAAGTTGGCAAAGTTCGATTCAAGCCAATAAACAATGGAAATCCTCAATTGGAGGCCAAAGGCCTGAGCCGTTTGCTCTCCGCAAAAGTTGTGAAGAGGAAGAAACATGCAGAAACAGATCCAGATAGCAAGAGCACCGTGCCCATCGAAGAAACAGTTGAAGAGGACAGGCACTCAGATCGACTCTCGATATTGGAAAAGTCCAACTGTAATGCTACAATTGAGAAAGATGATTATGCAAGTAGTAGTCAACAGTAAATATAACAAGCTTCCAGCTTTTCTTTCCATGTCCATTCTTTCTTACTGCACTAATAAGAGAAGATTTAGCGAACACTGTAAAACGGGATTCAGAGATGCTGGGGGGCGACCATGGGCAGCATGTAGAATTTGTTTCACAGGTGAAGTGATGCGGTGTCCTTCATACCATAGGATACCTTTGTAGAGCGAGGTTTCACAGTTCTGGAAATCAATGGAGCTGGAAACATTTTGGTGTGCGGTATGGTATAGGGATGACAATGAATTGATGTAGAGTATAGGGTTCGGATGAGAGAACCCCTTTTTTGTGTTGCTGCTTGCAGCGGTTTCTTGGACTTAAATGTGGACGTTCCCCTTAGCAGTATGTTCTTTTGATTCATTGTAGCTGCTTAAACTGCTCTTGCAAGAGAGCAACCAAGAATGGATGAGAGGATGATCGTCAGTTTTACTACTGTTCTTGTGTTTTCCCATAGCTATGGGTCCGAAACCGAACTGAATGTAGACGATGGCTTTTTGTTTAGCATGTGGCGTTTTCTGTGGTCCCACGTGCAAGAGATATACTTTTTGATTGGGGTTGCCCTGAGTGTGTGTTCGTTCGTGTGCTAGTACGGGTGCGTGTACAACTGAATTATTCATGATGTCTATTAATCATCGTGCTTCTCAACTACGCTAACGAAGGAAACATTCTGGCCTATGCTAGTTTTCTCGTTTTGGTTGTCTCCTGCGTGTAGGATTGCGTGAATGCAAAATGTTGAATGGGGCAGTCCCTGTTTTGAGGAGCAGCGCTGCAAGCAACAAATTCTATGAGGGGAGAGCCCACGCACGAAACCCCACCACGCTCAATCTTGAGCGCTTTGAGCAGGCAAGAGAGCAAAAACTGTGGACGGAAGCGATGCCAATTATTGACAGAGAGAGAGAATGAGTAAGAGGCGATTCTTCGTCCAGAGAGAATAAAGTGGTAGTAGGTGACTGAATTGCTGCCAGGTACATCGCCTACTTCTTTGACTAAAACTGCGGGAATTTATTGAGTCACTTGCTTTATTAACGGTAATCATGACCTTATGGTATTCTAATTTGGGGGGCAACTAATTGAGAAGAATACAAATTGGGTTGGCCTAACTAAACAAATGTTTGGATTTTTTTTGATCATCAATCCCCCCCAAAATTTGCAAATTTTGGATCTCATCCCCCTAAAATGCCTGATACATCTGTAGCTTATTTTAAACCTCTCCAGCTGAAACGCATCCCGAAAGGCGTTGTACGGAACCATCGTGGCATTGAAACAACTGAGGAATATAATTTTTTTATCGTCTCTTTAGAAAAAGCAGTGTGTTTACATATGTCCGGAAGTTTTTTTGTAAAGCTTAAGAAATACTAAGCAGACAAACGAGTCAATGTCTTACCGTAACGAGAGTGTTTACATATGTCCGGAAGTTTTCCGTAAGAGAGGCGCTACGGTCACACCTTAAACCACACCCTCAACCACACTTCTCTCTCGTTATAGTGTACTGGAGCTCATATGAATTTTTTTTTAAAATTCACATGTGAACCTCAATGCACTGTAGCGAGAGAAGTGAGTGTGGTTTAAGGATGTGCCTCTAGCATTTTTCTTTTTGTAAAGCTTAAAGAAAATATTAAGCAGACAAACGAGTCATGTCTTACCGTACTCGTCCAAAAACACACGGAGAAGGCGTTTTCAGCAAAAATTCAACAACAACTTTTGCGAGTGATAAAATTGTAGGATTGATTGCTCGGAAGAAAAAAGAAAGAAGAAAGAGAGAGATGTTTGCCATTCAAATTAGGAGCATGAGAAACATACTTTTAAGTCTGCAGTGCACGTCTCTGCGAAATGTCAAGAAATTTTCCATGATAATAATTTGTGGTCGTCGGTACCTCCGCTTCATAGAACTAATCACCGAAGTTTCGCATAACAAACGTCTACTAAAAAAGGTACTAATTGTGGGTGAAAAGAAGAGGAGGATCGAGAAACAACAAAAACTTGTTAGTGTAGTAAAAATCTATTATAAGAAGCAGACCCCCGATTTATACAGAATCCCTCCACATCCCACGAAAAAAGAGAAGTAAAAAAAAAAAAAAAAGGACCCATCATCATCATCGTCATCATCGAGATATATCACACATCTTCAGCAACTGACCCAGGAGCAGCATTGGTGGTGGTAGTATCAGAGAGCAGGCGCTCCCCGGCAGGTTGGCGCAGGAGCGCCTGAGGGCAGCCACTTCTCCACGCACCTCACGTGGAACCCATGGTTACAGCGGGCAGAACCCGGATCCATCCCCCTCCGAAAACTCGCTCAGGCAGATGGCGCACTCCGCCGCGGCCCCCGCGAGCGAGTGTCCTTCGAGAACGCCACCGCCTTCGCCTTCTTCTCCTCCTTTACCCCGGCCTTCGACCTCTTCTTCGCCGTCGCCGGGGGGGCGGCCGCGGCCGGCGCTCGGGGGCGACGGGCAGGAGGCGCCACAGGAGGAAGCGGATGACGGAGTTGAAAAGCGAGAGAGGAGGACGGCGCAGAGAGGATTGGAGATGATGACGAGGGCGTTGCTCTTGAAGTCCCCTGCGCTCGCGTAGGGACCCCAGCTGCTGCTTCTCCTCGCGGGCCGCCGCATCTTTCGGTTCTGGAGGCGAGGCAGGCGGAGGGAGGAGGGGGCATCGCCGCCGGCATGCTAGTATATGGGCCGATGCCGATCGGGGAGGACGGAGGTCAGGAGAATAAATACTGACGTTGGAAGTCCGAACCGAATTGATTGAGGGAGGAGGGAGGGGGTGTTTTAATTAGAGGGCACGCAGTGCGATGAGAGGGATACAGAGCACAGGGAGTGTTTTAATTAATTAATCAATTAATTAGTAAGAGCAACGGATCGGAGCTGAGAGAGTTTATACTCTCTCTGTCTCTGTGTGTGTACGCGCGCGCGCGTGTGGTGGGGGCGTTTGATGCTAAAGTCGTGGACGGTCACGGGTGGGGTGCGGTTTGCCGCTAGCTTGATGAACACGTGCATGCATGGTCATCCATATCAGTAACCATCAAAAAGTTTCGAAGGTTGGGACAAAGTTTTAAGCTTGCGGCTTAGAAAAATTTAAAAGCTTTATTTTGCGTGTACTCAAATCATAATTCTAGACAAACTCTTAGATATCTTCAATTCAATAATTGTTCTAACGTAGGAGTGCGCATTAACAGTTGACTCTTCTGGTAACAAATTAGGTCTAAAATTATTCTCCGTCCTTGAGACCCTCCTTGATTAGCACTTGCTGAACTGATTTAGCTTCACTTCCAATCATTTCAGCGATTGATTAAGCTTTCACTTTCAATCATTCACAGCTTCTGTTGTATGCCTGATGTGGTTTGGTATATGTAAGATATTGGAAGCTAATGAGAGGAAAGTTGGCAAAGTTCGATTCCAAGCCAATAAACAATGGAAATCCTCCAATTGGAGGCCAAAAGGCCTGAGCCGTTTGCTCTCTCGCAAAAAGTGTGAAGAGGAAGGAAACATGCAGAAACAGATCCAGATCAAGAGCACCGTGCCATCGAAGAAACAGTTGAGAGGACAGGCACTCAGATCGACTCTCGCATATTGGCGAAAAGTCCAACGTGTAATGCTACAATGAGGAAGATGATTTATGCAAGTAGTAGTCAACAGTAAATTAAACAAGCTTCCAGCTTTTCTTTCCATGTCCATTCTTTCTTACTGCACTAATAGAAAGATTTAGCGAACACTGTAAAACGGCGATTCAGAGATGCTCGGGGGGCGACCATGGGACAGCATGTAGAATATTGTTTCACAGGTGAAGTGATGCGGTGTCCTTCATACCATAGGATACTTTGTAGAGCGAGGTTTCCACAGTTCTGGAAATCAATGGAGCTGGAAACATTTTTGTGCTGCGGTATGGTATAGGGATGACAATGAATTGATGTAGAGTATAGGGGTTCGGATGAGAGAACCCCTTTTTTGTGTTGCTGCTTGCAGCGGTTTCTTGGACTTAAAATGTGGACGCTTCCCCTTAGCAGTATGTTTCTTTTGATTCATTGTAGCTGCTTAAACTGCTCTTGCAAGAGAGCAACAAGAATGGCATGAGAGGATGAATCGTCAGTTTTACTACTGCTTCTTGTGTTTTCCCATAGCTATGGGTCCGAAACCGAACTGAAATGTAGACGATGGCCTTTTGTTTAGCATGTGGCGTTTTCTGTGGCTCCCACGTGCAAGAGATATACTTTTTGATTGCGGTTGCCCTGAGTGTGTGTTCGTTCGTGTGCTAGTACGGGTGCGTGGTACAAACTGAAATTATTCATGATGTCTATTAATCATCCGTGCTTCTCAACTACGCTAACGAAGGAAACATTCTGGCCTTATGCCTAGTTTTCTCGTTTTGGTGTTTCTCCTGCGTGTAGGATTGCGTGAATGCAAAATGTTGAATGGCGGCAGTCCCTGTTTTGAGGAGCAGCGCTGCAAGCCAACAAATTCTATAGAGGGGAAGCCCACGCACAACGAAACCCCACCACGCTCAATCTTGAGCGCTTTGAGCAGGCAAGAGAGAAAAAACTGTGGACGGAAGCGATGCAATTATTGACAGAGAGAGAGAATGAGTTAGACGGCGATTCTTCGTCCAGAGAGAATAAAGTGGTAGTAGGTGACTGCAATTGCTGCCAGGTATCATCGCCTACTTCTTTTGACTAAAAACTGCGGGAATTTATTGAGTCACTTGCTTTATTAACGGTAATCATGACCTTATGGTATTCTAATTTGGGGGCAACTAATTGAGAAGAATACAAATTGGGTTGGCGCCTAACTAAACAAATGTTTGGATTTTTTTTGATCATCAATACCCCCCCAAAATTTGCAAATTTTGGATCTCATCCCCCTAAAATGCCTGATACATCTGTAGCTTATTTTAAACCTCTCAGCTGAAACGCATCCCGAAAGGCGTTGTACGGAACCATCGTGGGCATTGAAACAACTGAGGATATAATTTTTTTATCGTCTCTTTTAGAAAAAGCAGTGTGTTTACATATGTCCGGAAGTTTTTTTGTAAAGCTATAGAAATACTAACAGACAAACGAGTCAATGTCTTACCGTAACGAGAGTGTTTACATATGTCCGGAAGTTTTCCGTAAGAGAGGCGCTACGCGTCACACCTTAAACCACACCCTCACCACACTTCTCTCTCGTTATAAGTGTACTGGAGCTCATATGAATTTTTTTTTAAATTCACATGTGAACCTCAATGCACTGTAGCGAGAGAAGTGAGTGTGGTTTAAGGATTGTGCGCCTCTGCATTTTCTTTTTGTAAAGCTTAAAGAAAATATTAAGCAGACCAACCAGTCATGTCTTACCGTACTCGTCCAAAAACACACGGACGAAGGCGTTTTCAGCAAAAATTCAACAACAACTTTTGCGAGTGATAAAAATTGTAGGATTGATTGCTCGCGAAGAAAAAAGAAAGAAGAAAGAGGAGATGTTTGCCATTCAAATTAGGAGCATGAGAAACATACTTTTAAGTCTGCAGGTGCAGCGTCTCTGCGAATGTCAAGAAAATTGTTCCATGATAATAATTTGTGGTCGTC